AGGGAGGTGAAGGAGGGATTGAAGGACAGGGATTGAAGGGAGCGAGGTGAATGAAAGAGGCGAGTGAAGGAGTTGTGAAGGAGGGAGTGGATGGAGCGAGGTGAAGGAGAGAGGCGAGTGAAGGAGTTGTGAAGGACCGGGAGTGGAGTGAAGGGAGGTGAAGGAGGGATTGAAAGACAGGGATTGAAGGACACGGAGTGGATGGAGTGGATGGAGCGAGGTGAATGAAAGAGGCGAGTGAAGGAGTTGAAGGACCGAGTGAAGGAGTTGAAGGACCGAGTGAAGGAGTTGTGAAGGAGTGGAGTGAAGGGAGGTGAAGGAGGGATTGAAGGACAGGGATTGAAGGACAGGGATTGAAGGGAGCGAGGTGAATGAGAGAGGCGAGTGAAGGAGTTGTGAAGGAGGGAGTAGATGGAGCGAGGTGAAGGAGAGAGGCGAGCGAAGGAGTTGTGAAGGAGTGGAGTGTAGGGAGGTGAAGGAGGGATTGAAGGACACGGAGTGGATGGAGCGAGGTGAATGAGAGAGGCGAGTGAAGGAGTTGTGAAGGAGGGAGTGGATGGAGCGAGGTGAAGGAGAGAGGCGAGTGAAGGAGTTGTGAAGGACCGGGAGTGGAGTGAAGGGAGGTGAAGGAGGAATTGAAGGACAGGGATTGAAGGACACGGAGTGGATGGAGTGGATGGAGCGAGGTGAAGGAGAGAGGCGAATGAAGGAGTTGTGAAGGAGGGAGTGGATGGAGCGAGGTGAAGGAGAGAGGCGAGTGAAGGAGTTGTGAAGGACCGGGAGTGGAGTGAAGGGAGGTGAAGGAGGGATTGAAGGACACGGAGTGGATGGAGTGGATGGAGCGAGGTGAATGAGAGAGGCGAGTGAAGGAGTTGAAGGACCGAGTGAAGGAGTTGAAGGACGGAGTGGAGTGAAGGGAGGTGAAGGAGGGATTGAAGGACAGGGATTGAAGGGAGCGAGGTGAATGAGAGAGGCGAGTGAAGGAGTTTAAGGAGTGAGTGGAGTGAGTGAGTGTGTGAGTGTGTCAGTGACTGAGTGGGTGACTGAGTGAGTGGGTGAGTGAGTGTGTAAGTGAGTGAGTGTGTGTGTGAGTGAGTGTGTGAGTGTGTCAGTGACTGAGTGAGTGAGTGGGTGAGTGAGTGTGTGTGTAAGTGAGTCAGTGAGTGAGTGAGTGTGTAAGTGACTGTGTGAGTGACTGAGTGAGTGACTGAGTGAGTGAGTGTGTAACTAAGTGAGTCAGTGAGTGAGTGAGTCAGTGAGTGTGTAAGTGAGTGACTGTGTGACTGAGTGAGTGAGTGTGTAAGTGACTGTGTGAGTGACTGAGTGAGTGACTGAGTGAGTGAGTGTGTAACTAAGTGAGTCAGTGAGTGAGTGAGTGTGTAAGTGACTGTGTGAGTGACTGAGTGAGTGACTGAGTGTGTAACTAAGTGAGTCAGTGAGTGAGTGAGTGAATGTGTGTGTAAGTGACTGAGTGAGTGAGTGTGTAAATGAGTGAGTGTGTGTGTAAGTTAGTGTGTGAGTGAGTGAGTGGGTGAGTGAGAGAGTGAGTGACTGTGTGAGTGACTGAGTGAGTGACTGAGTAAGTGAGTGAGTGTGTAACTAAGTGAGTCAGTGAGTGAGTGAGTGTGTAAGTGACTGTGTGAGTGACTGAGTGAGTGACTGAGTGTGTAACTAAGTGAGTCAGTGAGTGAGTGAATGTGTGTGTAAGTGACTGAGTGACTGAGTGAGTGAGTGTGTAAATGAGTGAGTGTGTGTGTAAGTTAGTGTGTGAGTGAGTGGGTGAGTGAGAGAGTGAGTGACTGTGTGAGTGAGTGTGTGAGTGAGAGTGTAAGTGAGTGAGTGTGTGTGTAAGTTAGTGTGTGAGTCAGTGAGTGACTGAGTGACTGAGTCAGTGAGTGAGTGTGTGAGTGAGTGTGTAAGTGAGTGAGTGACTGAGTGAGTGAGTGTGTGAGTGAGTGTGTGAGTGAGTGTGTGAGTGAGTGTGTAAGTGAGTGAGTGACTGAGTGAGTGAGTGTGTGAGTGAGTGAGTGTGTGAGTGAGTGTGTGAGTGACTGAGTGAGTGAGTGTGTGAGTGAGTGAGTGTGTGAGTGAGTGTGTAAGTGAGTGAGTGACTGAGTGAGTGAGTGTGTGAGTGAGTGTGTGAGTGAGTGTGTGAGTGAGTGTGTAAGTGAGTGAGTGACTGAGTGAGTGAGTGTGTGAGTGAGTGAGTGTGTGAGTGAGTGTGTGATTGAGTGAGTGTGTGAGTGAGTGTGTAAGTGAGTGAGTGACTGAGTGAGTGTGTGAGTGAGTGAGTGTGTGAGTGACTGAGTGAGTGAGTGTGTGAGTGAGTGAGTGTGTGAGTGAGTGTGTAAGTGAGTGAGTGACTGAGTGAGTGAGTGTGTGAGTGAGTGAGTGTGTGAGTGAGTGTGTGAGTGAGTGTGTGAGTGTGTGAGTGAGTGACTGAGTGAGTGAGTGTGTGAGTGAGTGTATGAGTGAGTGTGTGAGTGTGTGAGTGAGTGTGTAAGTGAGTGAGTGACTGAGTGTGTGAGTGAGTGTGTGAGTGAGTGTGTAAGTGAGTGTGTAAGTGAGTGAGTGACTGAGTGAGTGAGTGTGTGAGTGAGTGTGTGAGTGAGTGTGTGAGTGAGTGTGTGAGTGAGCGTGTAAGTGAGTGAGTGACTGAGTGAGTGAGTGTGTGAGTGAGTGAGTGTGTGAGTGAGTGTGTGAGTGACTGAGTGAGTGAGTGTGTGAGTGAGTGAGTGTGTGAGTGTGTGAGTGAGTGTGTAAGTGAGTGTGTGAGTCAGTGAGTGTGTAAGTGAGTGTGTAAGTGAGTGTGTGAGTCAGTGAGTGTGTAAGTGAGTGTGTAAGTGACTGTGTGTGTGACTGTGTGAGTGTGTAAGTGAGTGAGTGTGTAAGTGAGTGTGTGAGTCAGTGAGTGTGTAAGTGAGTGTGTAAGTGAGTGTGTGAGTGAGTGTGTAAGTGAGTGTGTAAGTGAGTGTGTGAGTGAGTGTGTAAGTGAGTGAGTGTGTAAGTGAGTGTGTGAGTGAGTGTATGAGTGTGTAAGTGAGTGTGTAAGTGAGTGTGTGAGTGAGTGTGTAAGTGAGTGAGTGTGTGAGTGAGTGTGTAAGTGAGTGTGTAAGTGAGTGTGTGAGTCAGTGAGTGTGTGAGTGTGTAAGTGAGTGTGTGAGTGAGTGTGTAAGTGAGTGTGTAAGTGAGTGTGTAAGTGACTGTGTGAGTGAGTGTGTAAGTGAGTGTGTAAGTGAGTGTGTAAGTAAGTGTGTAAGTGAGTGTGTGAGTGAGTGTGTAAGTGTGTAAGTGAGTGTGTAAGTGAGTGTGTAAGTGAGTGTGTAAGTGAGTGTGTGAGTGAGTGTGTAAGTGAGTGTGTGAGTGAGTGTGTGAGTGAGTGTGTAAGTGAGTGAGTGTGTAAGTGTGTAAGTGAGTGTGTAAGTGAGTGTGTAAGTGTGTAAGTGAGTGTGTGAGTGAGTGTGTAAGTGAGTGTGTGAGTAAGTGTGTAAGTGAGTGTGTGAGTGAGTGTGTAAGTGAGTGTGTAAGTGAGTGTGTAAGTGTGTAAGTGAGTGTGTAAGTGAGTGTGTAAGTGAGTGAGTGAGTGTGTAAGTGAGTGTGTAAGTGTGTAAGTGAGTGTGTAAGTGAGTGTGTAAGTGTGTAAGTGAGTGTGTAAGTGTGTAAGTGAGTGTGTAAGTGAGTAAGTGAGTGTGTGAGTGAGTGTGTAAGTGAGTGTGTAAGTGATTGTGTGAGTCAGTGAGTGTGTAAGTGAATGTGTAAGTGTGTAAGTGAGTGTGTAAGTGAGTGTGTGAGTGTGTGAGTGAGTGTGTAAGTGTGTAAGTGATTGTGTGAGTCAGTGAGTGTGTAAGTGAGTGTGTAAGTGAGTGTGTGAGTGTGTAAGTGTGTGAGTGTGTAAGTGAGTGTGTAAGTGTGTGTGTAAGTGAGTGTGTGAGTGAGTGTGTAAGTAAGTGTGTAAGTGTGTGAGTAAGTGAGTGTGTAAGTGTGTAAGTGAGTGTGTAAGTGTGTAAGTGAGTGAGTGTGTAAGTGAGTGAGTAAGTGTGTAAGTGAGTGTGTGAGTGAGTGTGTAAGTGAGTGTGTAAGTGTGTGAGTGAGTGTGTGAGTGATTGTGTGAGTCAGTGTGTAAGTGTGTAAGTGAGTGTGTAAGTGAGTGTGTACGTGAGTGAGTGTGTAAGTGAGTGAGTGTGTAAGTGTGTAAGTGATTGTGTGAGTCAGTGAGTGTGTGTGTGAGTGTGTGAGTGTGTAAGTGAGAGTGTGAGTGTGTAAGGAGTGTGTAAGTGAGTGTGTAAGTGAGTGAGTAAGTGTGTAAGTGAGTGTGTAAGTGTGTGAGTGAGTGTGTGAGTGTGTGAGTCAGTGAGTGTGTAAGGAGTGTGTAAGTGAGTGTGTAAGTGTGTAAGTGAGTGTGTGAGTGTGTAAGTGTGTAAGGAGTGTGTGAGTGTGTGAGTGTGTAAGGAGTGTGTAAGTGAGTGTGTAAGTGAGTGTGTAAGTGAGTGTATGAGTGAGTGTGTAAGTAAGTGTGTAAGTGAGTGTGTAAGTGAGAGTAAGTGAGTGTGTGTGAGTGAGTGTGTGAGTGAGTGTGTAAGTGAGTGAGTGTGTAAGTGAGTGAGTGAGTGTGTGAGTGAGTGTGTAAGTGAGTGAGTGTGTAAGTGAGTGTGTGAGTGAGTGTGTAAGTGTGTGAGTGAGTGTGTAAGTGAGTGTGTAAGTGAGTGTGTGAGTGAGTGTGTAAGTGTGTAAGTAAGTGTGTAAGTGAGTGTGTAAGTGAGTGTGTGAGTGAGTGTGTGAGTGTGTAAGTGAGTGAGTCAGTAAGTGTGTAAGTGAGTGTGTAAGTGAGTGTGTAAGTGTGTGAGTGAGTCAGTGAGTGTGTAAGTGAGTGTGTAAGTGTGTAAGTAAGTGTGTAAGTGAGTGTGTAAGTGAGTGTGTAAGTGAGTAAGTGTGTAAGTGAGTGAGTCAGTAAGTGTGTGAGTGAGTGAGTGGCTATCGAGCAGTGGAGAGAGCCCGGCCACCTGCGAGCGCGCGGCGCGGCTCGTGGCGGTCTAGCAGCAGGTGCCGTGGACTCTCGGGCAGCCAGGGCAGCAGCAGCAGCTGCAGGGCGGCAGGGAGGGCGGGCAGGGACAGAGCCAGGGGCCACAGATGGGGCTCGCCCATCACCTGCCTGGGGGGGAGGGAGGGGTGGGGGAGTGGGGGGAGGGGATGGGGGGAGGGAGTAGAAGGGGAGGAGGTGGGGGAAGGAGGGGGGAGGGGGTGGGGGGGAATGAGGGGGTTGGGGGTTGTGGGGTGGGGGGAGGGAGAGGGCGGGGGCACGGGGTGGTGGGTGAAGGTGGGGGTTGGGGGGAGGGGGTGGGGGGAGGGGGATGGGGGAGGGAGTTGAAGGGGTTGGGGGAGGAGGGAGGGGGGGGTATGGGAGGGTTGGGGGGAGGGGTGGGGGGAGGAGTGGGGGGAGGGGTGGGGGGAGGGAGTTGAAGGGGTGGGGGGGTATTGGAGGGGTGGGGGGAGGGGTGGGGAGGGGGAGAGTGAAGGGGAGGGGGGATGGGGGAGAGAGGGGGAGTGGGGGGAGGGGATGAGGGGAGGGAGTAGAAGAGGAGGGGGTGGGGGGTGGGGGGAAGGAGGGGGGAGGGGTGGGGTGAGGGAGGAGGGGTTGGGGGGAGGGGGAAGGAGTGGGAGGGGGAAGGGGGTGGGGGGTCAAGGTGCGGGTTGGGGGGAGGGGGTTGGGGGGAGGGGGTTGGGGGGAGGGGGTTGGGGGTGGGGGTTTGGGGGAGGGGGTTGGGGGGAGGGGGTTGGGGGGTGGGGGGAGAGGTTGCAGGTCGAGATAAGTGGAAACTCGCCCCACCTCGCCCGTCACCACCACCACCAGGGTGGACTGTGTACCCACCACCAGGGTGGACTGTGTCCCCACCAGGGTGGACTGTGTCCCCACCACCACCACCAGGGTGGACTGTGTCCCCACCACCACCAGGGTGGACTGTGTCCCCACCACCAGGGTGGACTGTGTCCCCACCACCACCAGGGTGGACTGTGTCCCCACCACCACCAGGGTGGACTGTATCACCACCAGGGTGGACTGTGTCTCCACCAGGGTGGACTGTGTCCCCACCACCAGGGTGGACTGTGTCCCCACCACCACCAGGGTGGACTGTGTCCCCACCACCAGGGTGGACTGTGTCCCCACCAGGGTGGACTGTGTCCCCACCACCAGGGTGGACTGTGTCCCCACCACCACCAGGGTGGACTGTGTCCCCACCACCAGGGTGGACTGTGTCCCCACCACCAGGGTGGACTGTGTCCCCACCACCAGGGTGGACTGTGTCCCCACCACCACCAGGGTGGACTGTGTCCCCACCAGGGTGGACTGTGTCCCCACCACCAGGGTGGACTGTCCCCACCACCAGGGTGGACTGTGTCCCCACCACCAGGGTGGACTGTCACCACCACCAGGGTGGACTGTGTCACCACCACCAGGGTGGACTGTGTCCCCACCAGGGTGGACTGTGTCCCCACCACCACCACCAGGGTGGACTGTGTCCCCACCAGGGTGGACTGTGTCCCCACCACCACCACCAGGGTGGACTGTGTCACCACCACCACCAGGGTGGACTGTGTCCCCACCACCAGGGTGGACTGTGTCCCCACCACCACCACCAGGGTGGACTGTGTCCCCACCACCACCAGGGTGGACTGTGTCCCCACCACTAGGGTGGACTGTGTCCCCACCACCACCAGGGTGGACTGTGTCCCCACCACCACCAGGGTGGACTGTATCACCACCAGGGTGGACTGTGTCTCCACCAGGGTGGACTGTGTCCCCACCACCAGGGTGGACTGTGTCCCCACCACCACCAGGGTGGACTGTGTCCCCACCACCAGGGTGGACTGTGTCCCCACCAGGGTGGACTGTGTCCCCACCACCAGGGTGGACTGTGTCCCCACCACCACCAGGGTGGACTGTGTCCCCACCACCAGGGTGGACTGTGTCCCCACCAGGGTGGACTGTGTCCCCACCACCAGGGTGGACTGTGTCCCCACCACCACCAGGGTGGACTGTGTCCCCACCAGGGTGGACTGTGTCCCCACCACCAGGGTGGACTGTCCCCACCACCAGGGTGGACTGTGTCCCCACCACCAGGGTGGACTGTCACCACCACCAGGGTGGACTGTGTCACCACCACCAGGGTGGACTGCGTCCCCACCAGGGTGGACTGTGTCCCCACCACCACCACCAGGGTGGACTGTGTCCCCACCAGGGTGGACTGTGTCCCCACCACCACCACCAGGGTGGACTGTGTCACCACCACCACCAGGGTGGACTGTGTCCCCACCACCAGGGTGGACTGTGTCCCCACCACCACCACCAGGGTGGACTGTGTCCCCACCAGGGTGGACTGTGTCCCCACCACCAGGGTGGACTGTGTCACCACCACCAGGGTGGACTGTGTCCCCACCAGGGTGGACTGTGTCCCCACCACCACCACCAGGGTGGACTGTGTCACCACCACCAGGGTGGACTGTGTCTCCACCAGGGTGGACTGTCTCCCCACCACCAGGGTGGACTGTCACCACCACCAGGGTGGACTGTGTCCCCACCACCAGGGTGGACTGTGTCTCCACCAGGGGGGACTGTGTCTCCACCAGGGTGGACTGTCACCACCGCCACCAGGGTGGACTGTGTCCCCACGACCAGGGTGGACTGTGTCCCCACCAGGGTGGACTGTGTCTCCACCAGGGTGGACTGTCCCCACCACCACCAGGGTGGACTGTGTCTCCACCAGGGTGGACTGTCAACACCACCAGGGTGGACTGTGTCTCCACCAGGGTGGACTGTGTCCCCACCACCACCACCAGGGTGGAATGTGTCTCCACCAGGGTGGACTGTGTCCCCACCACCACCACCAGGGTGGACTGTGTCCCCACCACCACCACCACCAGGGTGGACTGTGTCTCCACCAGGGTGGACTGTCACCACCACCAGGGTGGACTGTCACCACCACCAGGGTGGACTGTGTCCCCACCAGGGTGGACTGTCCCCACCACCACCAGGGTGGACTGTGTCCCCACCACCAGGGTGGACTGTGTCTCCACCACCAGGGTGGACTGTGTCCCCACCACCAGGGTGGACTGTGTCCCCACCACCAGGGTGGACTGTCACCACCACCAGGGTGGACTGTCACCACCACCAGGGTGGACTGTGTCCCCACCACCAGGGTGGACTGTCACCACCACCAGGGTGGACTGTGTCCCCACCACCAGGGTGGACTGTGTCCCCACCACCAGGGTGGACTGTCACCACCACCAGGGTGGACTGTCACCACCACCAGGGTGGACTGTGTCCCCACCACCAGGGTGGACTGTCACCACCACCAGGGTGGACTGTCACCACCTCCAGGGTGGACTGTGTCCCCACCACCAGGGTGGACTGTGTCCCCACCACCAGGGTGGACTGTGTCCCCACCAGGGTGGACTGTGTCCCCACCACCAGGGTGGACTGTGTCCCCACCACCACCAGGGTGGACTGTGTCCCCACCACCAGGGTGGACTGTGTCCCCACCAGGGTGGACTGTGTCCCCACCACCAGGGTGGACTGTGTCCCCACCACCACCAGGGTGGACTGTGTCCCCACCACCAGGGTGGACTGTGGCCCCACCAGGGTGGACTGTGTCCCCACCACCAGGGTGGAGTGTGTCCCCACCACCACCAGGGTGGACTGTGTCCCCACCAGGGTGGACTGTGTCCCCACCACCACCAGGGTGGACTGTGTCCCCACCACCAGGGTGGACTGTGTCCCCACCAGGGTGGACTGTGTCCCCACCACCAGGGTGGACTGTGTCCCCACCACCACCAGGGTGGACTGTGTCCCCACCACCAGGGTGGACTGTGTCCCCACCAGGGTGGACTGTGTCCCCACCACCAGGGTGGACTGTGTCCCCACCACCACCAGGGTGGACTGTGTCCCCACCAGGGTGGACTGTGTCCCCACCACCAGGGTGGACTGTCCCCACCACCAGGGTGGACTGTGTCCCCACCACCAGGGTGGACTGTCACCACCACCAGGGTGGACTGTGTCACCACCACCAGGGTGGACTGTGTCCCCACCAGGGTGGACTGTGTCCCCACCACCACCAGGGTGGACTGTGTCCCCACCAGGGTGGACTGTGTCCCCACCACCACCACCAGGGTGGACTGTGTCACCACCACCACCAGGGTGGACTGTCACCACCACCAGGGTGGACTGTCACCACCACCAGGGTGGACTGTGTCCCCACCACCAGGGTGGACTGTGTCCCCACCACCAGGGTGGACTGTGTCCCCACCAGGGTGGACTGTGTCCCCACCACCAGGGTGGACTGTGTCCCCACCACCACCAGGGTGGACTGTGTCCCCACCACCAGGGTGGACTGTGTCCCCACCAGGGTGGACTGTGTCCCCACCACCAGGGTGGACTGTGTCCCCACCACCACCAGGGTGGACTGTGTCCCCACCACCAGGGTGGACTGTGTCCCCACCACCAGGGTGGACTGTGTCACCACCACCAGGGTGGACTGTGTCCCCACCAGGGTGGACTGTGTCCCCACCACCACCAGGGTGGACTGTGTCCCCACCACCAGGGTGGACTGTGTCCCCACCAGGGTGGACTGTGTCCCCACCACCAGGGTGGACTGTGTCCCCACCACCACCAGGGTGGACTGTGTCCCCACCAGGGTGGACTGTGTCCCCACCACCAGGGTGGACTGTCCCCACCACCAGGGTGGACTGTGTCCCCACCACCAGGGTGGACTGTCACCACCACCAGGGTGGACTGTGTCACCACCACCAGGGTGGACTGTGTCCCCACCAGGGTGGACTGTGTCCCCACCACCACCACCAGGGTGGACTGTGTCCCCACCAGGGTGGACTGTGTCCCCACCACCACCACCAGGGTGGACTGTGTCACCACCACCACCAGGGTGGACTGTGTCCCCACCACCAGGGTGGACTGTGTCCCCACCACCACCACCAGGGTGGACTGTGTCCCCACCAGGGTGGACTGTGTCCCCACCACCAGGGTGGACTGTGTCACCACCACCAGGGTGGACTGTGTCCCCACCAGGGTGGACTGTGTCCCCACCACCACCACCAGGGTGGACTGTGTCACCACCACCAGGGTGGACTGTGTCTCCACCA